TTGCTTTTTTTCATCCGGGTTTCGGTTTAATCGTTAAATGGGATAGACGGTTGAGAAACGTAGACACCCTCTCTCTCTCTCTCTCTCTCTCTCTCTCTCTTTCGCACTCGCGTGTGTTATAGGACGGAACGGTGAAATAAGGATGAAGCCATCGTTGAATGATATAGGGGTGGTCGTGGATCTTCCTCACTTGCGATCGTATATCCAATTTGTCAGTTTTATGCCAGTCCACCCTTCTCTCTATATCGTAGACCACAGTCATATATACGAGCTCTCCGGCAAAACGAGACTTTTACCCCCACGACCAAGCCCCATCCCCTAACTTTCATGTGACAACCACCCACCCTTCTCAACTTTCTCTCTTTCTCTCACTCTCTCACTCGCGTCATCCCTTCTCATTTCTTCCTATTCCTACGAAACTCCTATAACCATCCCCCTCGTACTTTCACTACCCCTCCCGACCCCCTGACCCCACTCCAATCCTCTTCCTCTTTCGACCCTCCCTCCAAACACCCTGTCGCGTTTATTTGACCGTGGTGTAATGCTTCTGGCGCGACGATGGCACGTTTAATTGCTCGTTTTTATACTCCGCTAGAACTTCGATAAGATAATCGGCCGGGAATGGATTTCGACGCGACTTTTACGATCGAGTTTTAATTTTTTTTTCCTTTCTTTTTCATATAAACGACTGGGAAGGGTTTAACGAAGAATAATAATACTCCGCGTTAGAGGGTAGATTTGTAAATTCTCTTTATCCCATGAATATTTTTCTTTCTTTACATAATCGATGCTGCTCTTTCTCTCTCTCTCTTTCTCTATCTCGTTATTTCTTTCTGTATCTTTTTTTTTCCTTTTATTTAATTGTTATTTTTTTTTTAACGCGTATGTTATATTTTGTCGATACAAGAAACAAACGACGAACACCGTGTGTCTCGGCATAAATTATTATTATTTCTATTTTCTTTTTTTTCTTTTAAATATGTGACCAATATTTGTCCCATCTATGGTTAAACTTTAATCGTCTTTTTTTTTTTTTACGATGAATTCAACAGGCAACATATATATATATATAAGATTTGAAAAAAAAAGAAGTGTTATTGTTTTCTAATTGAGAAAACGTGAAAAATATATGAATTGTGTGTAAAATGAAAGAAATAATAATTGTCTCAATTAGAGATATCGCCGTTTTGTAGGAGAGAAACAGCACACCATGGTGGTCACTTCAAGGAATGCAATGGAGAAGTCCGGAGACAGAATGAATCGCCAATTCTTCGGGGTACCTACCTAATCATTCTTTTTTTTATGTATATTTCAACCAAATTGCAAACTACACACACAATGTACCCAAATATATATTTTATATTTATATATATATATATTACATAAGGCAGATCGTCTTCCGCTACATCACATATATTTAATAATAATAATAGTAATAATAATAATAGTAATTAATATTAATTTTATTATTATTATTATTAAATAATTAATTAATATTCCTGCTGATAATTACGAAAGTGAGCACATTAACAATAATTCCAAAAATAAGAATAAAAATTTGTTTGTTATGATTTATATTTAATATCACGCAGATGTATTTATATTGTTAAATTAATCATAAAATACATTTTCCATTTGTGGTATTTTATGATTTGGTCGCGTTATCATCGTGATTGCCAGCGCATTTTCTAATTGTTTTTTTTTTTTTTTTTTTTTTTTACTTTACTCACGAAGAAAAGTATATGTATGTTACTACACGTATGTCCATTTTTTTTGTTAGCAATAATATTACATTGCACTCATACATGCATATATAATAAACAAGACAATACAAAAATGTTTATATATCATATATATATATATATATACATGTATGTGCGTAAACCTAACTTGCGTGTGCGTATGCATGTGCGTGTGTACGTCATCTGCCAAACGGTCTCTCTTGCGTGGTGCTGTCGCGCGAATTTTTGCAAAAAGAAAAATTTCGTACCGAAATGAAAAGGGGGAAAAAAGGGATCGTTGTCGTAAGCGTTCTCGTTTCCATTTTTTTTTTTCTTTTTTTTTTTCTTTTCCTATTTTTTCTTCCTTTTTTTTTCTCTCTCTCTCTTTCTCGTCTTCTTTCCTCTTTTTATTATTATTATCATTACGATTATTATTATTATTATTATGATTATTATTATTATTGTTATTTCTGTCGCATCGCGGCAGATGCCAGCGGTAAAGAGAGAGACAGAAAATAGAATCTTTCTTGTCGTCGCATGTGACCCTTTTTTCTCGTTTTATTGTTTTTTTTTTTGTGTTGTTGTACTTTTTTCGGTCTAACCATTCACGGAGCGATTTCCATCGTCAAATTTGCGGGGTGGGGGTGGCGGTAGAGGAGCCGGGTGGAGAGGATTTTTATTTTCTTCTTTTCTTTCTTTTTTTTTTTTTTTTTTTTTTTTTCCCCCCCCCCCCCCCCCCCACTCTCCTCGTGGTTTTTTGTCAAAGTTCGCCGCTAATCGACGACGCGAGAGTCAAAAATTTGTCAGAGAGAAAAAGCGTACAAACAAAAGAAAAAGAAAAGCAACGAAATGTCGGTTGGTTTTGATTTTCTCTCTCTCTCTCTTTTTCTTTTTTTCATCGTTGTTTATACGCGTATAAATAAATAAATCTGTAAATAAATCTCTGCGCGGATTGGGAAAATTTTTCGCGCTCGTTGACCGCGTCCATTGCGGTCGATTGTTTTCGCGTTTTCTCAACAAAGCACAACGCAACGATCATTTATTTATATATATATATTATGTTTTTATTTTGTTGAAACAATTTTATGCGCTCGTGTGTGTATGTGTGTGTGAGTGTGAGTGTGGGTGTGGGTGGGTACACGACCGCTTGGCAGAATTGCAACGGATTTGATTTGTTCTACTTTGGACGGCTACTACGAATCGTGCACAGATATATATATATATACATATATTATATGCTCTTGTCTCTATTTACACACTTCACTCTCTCTCTTTCTCTCTCTCTTGTCATGTAACACGTATATCACTGCTCAACACCCAATCGATTACAGATTTTCCATTTCGAAAGATTATCTATTCCTATGCGTATTTATTTGTACGTGTTACGACGACATCGTGTTTTTGTTATGTTATATTTTTCTTTTTTCTTTTATTGCAAGAGAATATCATAGAATAATCGTATCGATTTATAAAAAAACAACATTTCAATTGATCAATTTTTTGTATCGTTTTTTTATTTTTAATTATCGTTATTAAAATGTTTGTGTACAAGTTAGTAAGTTGTTTAATAAATCGAATAAATTTCCAAAGAGAAAGTTGGATTTTTTGTGTTTTGTTACGAAAATGATATTAATTAAATTAGCATATGCTATATTAAATATTATTAGACTTTGAGATTTCGCAATTGAGTATTTTCCATTCGAGTTGATTCCAGTCGACGCTTCTATCTACGTTTACGTCTCTAACTCGTATTGTTATTACACTTTTGTTCAACACGCACAAATCCCTTGCTACGTAACTTAGTTCTATACATATTTAGTATACCTATACATACATATATATATCATGTAACATCACTTGAGAACTTCGCTTGAAATATTTTTTCTTTGTGCCAACGCATCGGACAATTAATCGTAAACGCTTACGATTGAGTATATAACATTTTATATATAAATATATATATATATATCTATATAAAAAGTGTCCTAGTAATTTTCTATAAAATTTTATCAATTCTTATTGCAATTCATTAAGTTGAACATTTAATAAAAAATATGCAGTTTATCTTTTAGGTAAAAAGTGAGTTTTGTATACGTTGCATATTCAAATAAATTTCGACAATATGCTCTTATGGTATTTCGAGGAAACACCAGTTTTTTATCATTTCGTATTTTTGTTATAAATTTAAATTAAATCATTGAAGATCCTATATATATATATATATATGTTTATGTAACATTTTGTTCTTATTTTTTTTCTTATAAAAAAATGTTGGTAAAATTTTGTGGACACACAAATTGGGGCACCTTTTATATGTTAATGTATTTTGTGTCTTATATAATAGATGTATACATGTATACTCACGATTATGCACGCACATATATATACACACACACAACAAACAAATTTATGTATTATATTAATTCACGCGTATAGGCATAGACATACATACACACACGTGCCTGTTAATCTCCATACAGCTGAGCTATGGTATACCATGAAACACACTATACCTATATTATTACTATATTGTAGTAATTTTTATATACAAAGCAAACATTTTGCGTTCACAAGAAAATTTCTTGACAATGTTCTTTTTGAAATTTCGAATTACAAAAATTTCGTTAGGCGTACGAAATGAAATTTCTTATTGGTAGAAATTGTGATGACGTGGGACAGGAGGAGGTGGAGGAGGATGTTCAAAAACGCCATAAAAAAAAGACGAGGATATGAAAATTGGAGGACCACACAAATAGAGAAAGAATGTGTTGTGTGGTTTATAGAATTTTTTCTTTAAAAAACAATTAATCTTTGCGTCGATTGTGACAGACGGAAGAAGATTGCAGCAGTGCGTGCATAAATTATTAGAGATATCGAAAAAAAGATCCCTTATTTCCTTCTCTTTTCTTTTTTCTTTTCTTTTTTTTAAAGTTCAATTAAAAATATCCTAATTATATCTTCCTGCGAAATTAAATAATAAAAAAGAAAACACAAAAATTCTAATCACAATTGTGTAATTACGATATAGCACCACAATTGTTCTTTACGATATCTTTTTCCCAACAAAAAAGAAATAAAATAAAATGAAAATCATACAGAGAAAGATATTAGAGGAATGTTCAAACCGAAGAGTTATAAATATCATCCGGTCGATAAAAAAAAAATAAAAGAAAAATAAAGAAAGGAGATAAAAAGTGAAATAAAATAAAAAATAAAAAATAAAAATGGAGAAAGGGAAAAAATTGGTTGGATGACGTAATGTATACGTGTAAACTATAGGAAAGGAGTACTACCCTAAGATGGATGGTCCAATGGCTGTGAGCAAGGATACACGTACGAAGAAGAATGCTACCCATAATGGGCAACTATCCATTACGAGTACTATCAATATCGAATTTAATGGCAATCATCAACCGAGAGAGCCACGAAAAGAACTCAACACGATCGTCAGACGGAGTTTCCGGAGGAATGGCGACGAATGGCGTGCCGATAGTAGGAGGTGCGTTTCAAAATGTCGGTTACCCTACGCCATCTTTTCTTTTCGTTTTCTTTTTCTTTTTCTTTTTTATTAGTAAGTAGATATTCAAAAAAAAAAATAACAAAAAAGGAAAAGTACGAATTTTTGATTTCACGCGACCGTCGAATTTTAAAAAAAAAAAACAAAAATTATAATTTATTAATATATACACAATTATATTTTGCGATGACTTTTTAAAAATCGAAACAAAGGATCGATTAAAATTAAACAAACAAACAAACAAAAGATCTTTTCTTTTGTCCTCGCTCTTTGGAGTAGAGGGGTGAACTAATTTTTGAAAGAAATCGAAATTAATTTATTAACATATAAGTATAATCGTTGAGTGATGATCTTTTTTTTATTAAAGGTAGAGATAATGGATCGATTAAAATGAAAATAAAAAAAACAGAAAAAAGTCTTTCCTTCCGGTTCTTGCTCGACTACGTTCGACCCGTATTCGAAATACCGTGGGATCGCGTATTTTCTTTGAAAAATTAAAACTGGAAAGGATATCGAGGCCGTGTTAGAGAAAGAAAAAGAATACGTGCGAGAACGATCGTTTACTTTTTTTATTATTATTATTATTATTATTATTATTCTCTTCCTCTTTTTTTTTTTTTTTACTAAGTTTTATTATCAAAGACATCTCTTGGGCATCGAGGCGTATAAAACCGCCAACGCAAGGCACTTTAACGTTCGTTAAAAGAAGCTGATCTAAATGACCGTATGATCATCCGTAACCTTTAGAAAGTTGATACGGTTCGTGGTTTATGGGATATTAAATCGTAGGTTATTACTTCGATTATGTATCAATCGATTGTCTTAACTACTACGTGTTAAGATCTTGAAAATATTTTCACGAGAACAAATGGTAACTGGCATATCGACGGAATTACTTTTCAAAAATGATCTTAAACGTATCATTTTGTTCTATTTGAAATTCATTATCATTCATTATTATTAATTCGTTGACGCAGAACATGTCCGAAACATTTTTCTATATCCAATATCACGATTGTTTGTTTTCATAATTAATAATAAAATAAATACCTAATATAAAATTTACCTTTGGATCGCGAAAATTATTTTCCAATTTTTATTTCTTTTGTTCTTCTTTTTTCTTTTTTTTTACCGACTAACAACGGCGCCATGTCGAAATATCGCAAAAATGTTCCTGGGGGAACAAAAAAAAAAATATGAAGAGAGAAATAGAAAAATGTTAACGAAGAAGAATAAAGAATGTGAATTGAAGGAAGAACGAAGAAAGATCGATAAGAAATATAAAAAAAATCGTGACGATTTTTATATGGGAGTTGTGTCTGATCAGGTTCACCGAAAGAAGGGGGAAAAAGACGGTACGATTTTACGGTGGGACCAATATTGGGAGACATCAGGAGGATGATTGGTCATGGGAAGTTGCCGATCATTGTCGGCAAGGTAGTCAGGACAGCGCAACTAAAGATTCCGGTATAGACACGTCAAGCACCTTCACGAGCAGTGAAGAAAGCAACAGGGGCGAGTTGCCCAAGGTACGAGGCTGAGAACTATTCCTCGAATTTACGAAAAATGATTAATCAACGACCCATTATTAACGAGCCCACAATTAAATCAATCAGTGAAACATACGATAACGATATGCATCGTCAAATCGATCGATCGACAGGGAAGAAATTGTACGTAACGTTCGTTAGTTTTAATAATAAAATAAACGACAACACGATAGTAATAATAATAATAATAATAATAATAATAATAAATGAAGAAATATTTAAAAGTACGATAAAGAAAATAAAAGAAATGCATATATAAGTGAGAGAAGTAATTAAAACAAAAAAATACAAAATACAAAAAGTTGGCCTTGAAAAAATTCGAATTTTCTCCAAGTCGATCGAAATTAGAAAAAGGGTTGAGTGAGGGAGGGAGGGAGAGAGGGATCAATGATCTAATTATAGTAGACCGTTAAAAAAAGAACCGATCGATGGTAATGGTGGATCGAGTAAAAGGGGTCTTTTTGTTCTTTTTTTTTTCTAATCTATTAATATTTTTTGTTCTTACACGAATATTTATATGTATGTTGTATGTGATATACATGGTATATTCTATATCTATATTGTATATAATATATTCGACGAAAGAAATTTATTGAATCTTTGATAAATATAAATGATAAGGCTATTGATCATAATGTTAATTTATTAAACTTTATTCAATTTAGGAAAAATAGTTGTAGATCTTTTAAATAATTACTTTCAAGCGGTTGTTTTTTTTTTTTAAATACACTATACTATAATAATTATTAAATATATATTAGGCGCAGAATCGTGATAGTATCTGTCGTCCAAAGTGGAATTCAGTCTCTTTTACACGCTACCATTTTTTATTTATTTCGTATTTGTTATATACTTCTTTTTGCTGCTTTTATTTTTTATTTTTGTGTATTTATTAATATTTTTTTTTTTATTAAAATTTTAAATTTATACGCAAACATTTGGAGAGAGACAAAATAGTTTGTCATTTCGCTGCTTAACTTATTGATTTATCGATTTATTATGTTTTTTCTCCTTGTTATATATAAACAAATATTTCTTCTTTTTTTTTTTTTTTGTTATTTTTTTTTTAAATTATACTCACAATACAAATCTATGCGGAGAGACGTATCGACTAAATAATTTTTACACATAAACAATAAGCCACTTCGTTGTTGTTTAATATTATCGTCGCTTTATTAGCTGCTCGGCATATTTTTTAATCTTTTCGTAATATTTTATTTAGAAGTAGTGTGTACAGTTTCTCTTCTCTTGATACTATTCATTTTTAATTCCCTAATCAATTAATATTTTCGTGATAAATCTTTACGTATATTATAGAGAATGTGAGAAATAGATTTAAACTAAAACAAATCTCGATAATTTTCTTAAATTCATTTGCATTCTCGTTTTACACGTAGTGACTGACAAATGTCTAGTTAAACAAAAAACAAAACCTATACGATTGGACATTGTGTATAGTTTAACAATGGGCTTCATTCTTCGTAGTTAAATTTTTGTCTAAATTTAATTTTATTTCTTATTCTTTTTTTTCCCGTATTGGTTTTATTTAATCGTGTTTCGTTTTTTTTAATTTATTTTTTTATAAATGGTAGAAGCTCTCTTGGTGTCGCTCGAATAATTTTTTTTCGAGGACCTCTTCTTCGTAAATACTACATATACACGTATATAAACACACATAAAAAATATATATATAATACTATTTTTATATATATATATATATATACATATACATATACATATACATATACATATTTTAGCTCTGTGACCGATAAACCTCTTTTGCTCGATAAACCCTTTTTAACTCCTTCGAGCTTGAAAGGCTTCGTGCGCTTTAGTTTTTTGTACTCTCTCTCTCTCTCTCTCTCCTTTCCATCTCATCATTATCATCTTGTCATCGTCATCATCATTCTCTCATCGTGTTGTCATGAAAATGCGTTGTTGGCCCTATTCGTACGTCTAACACGAAATATATTTCATAATATAAATCTTAACTATTATATACGATATTCTCTTCAATATTTCTAATCTATTGATTTATTTTATATTTATCATACAAAAAAATCCTGAACAATTTTAATTAATTGAATCACAGAAAAAATAAAATTATTATGAGAATTTTACGAAGAAAAACTTTTCATTATTCTTTCATCGAGAAAAATTATTGTTCTTTTTTTTCTTCTTAAGATTTTTAATTCTATTACAAACAAACAAAATATTAGAATAGCATAGTTTCTTGTTTTTCCGAAGCATAGTTCTTTATCTCTTTCTTTTTTTTTTTTTCTTTTTTTAACGAGTTTTTCATTGTGCACTCGATTTCTCAACATTCGATTACTCGGGGCTGATTCGTTCATTTCGTTCATCTCGTTCTTTCCCTAGTTTAGCTGATTCGGAGAATCAGTTAGCTAAACTTTTAATAGTATGTTATGTACATACATAGATATATAGATAGATAGATAGATAGATAGATAGATAAGATTTATACATATAGTTACGTTAAGTTAATTGCATTATGTAGAAGTTTAATTGCGCTGTTGTTTATGAATTAAGGGCTGATTTCATTACACATATATATTTTACTTGTAGATTTGTGCAATGTGAAAATTTAAATATATATATATTTTCTTTCTTCTTTTTTTTCTTTATTATATTAACTATCATTTAATTCTATTTTCTAATTGCTCCATCGATCGGCAATAAATTATAATTAATATACAATATTTATATTATATTACAAATGCATATTATTTTTTTGTTTTACTAAAGCATTAAATAACTCATGTTTTTAAAACACACACAAATTTTATTGTTAATGATAATTATATTAAAACAATTGTTGAAAGAAATTTTTCACGACACGAATTGCGAGACAAGAGTTTCCTTTTTTTTCTTATAAATATATTATGAATATATTTTCTTTTTTTCTTTTTGTTTTCTTTTCAAAAAATGTATTATATTAAATATTAAATTATTGCTGATCGCGTATTGCACGAATAGAAAAGTTAACTAATGTGATAATCGAGGAAGGGATAAATGGGAAATTGGTTGGCAATCATCATCATCATCTTTCTACTGTCATTCTATATACACATAACTTAATAAATACCTATATATATTTCATTCGATTTTCCCGATAGTTTCTGCTAGCTTGTTGAAGATCGAGCATATGTATTTGTCAATTCGTTCTTTGGCGCGAGTGCTACCGACGGGTAACGACAGTTCGATTATCCGTTATCTTTATTAGATGACCTCGTAAAACGGCCTCGAGAAACCACCCCTCTTTACCCTCCCCATCACTTTTCTCCTTTTCCGTCTGTCCATCTCCGTCTATATTTTTTTCCTCGTTTCTTGATCGTTTCTTTTTATCCTTAGGGGGGGGGGGAAATATATATATATATATATATATATTTATATATTATATATAAATATAAAATATAAAATATAAATATATATATATATA